ATCTAAGAAGGTTCTCAAATGAAGATGCCAAAAAATCATATCTTCTAAATGTGCGATTCTACCATGATCAAAAAATCAATATAAAAACATAATTACTATCTCAAAAAAAAATTTAGATTTAAAGAGTCTCTAATCTTAAAAACTTAATCCAATCATTTTATCTAATTTAGATAGAATGATTGGATGCTATAACAACTACTCTGTTCCTAAGTAAATTTAGATTTCGTTTTATCCATCTTATACCAATTCTTTAAGTATTATAAAAGGTAGCTTTGGGAACTAATTTTATGATATAATGATAGAAGGCTAAAGTAATACTTATTTTTTGGATATACTAAATAATTATTGGAGTATTTAGTTACTATTGTTGTACAATAATATTAGCTAAATAATCTTCCAAATTTAATAACTCATTAATATATGATCTATTTTCATCCATTTTTCAATTAATTAATATGTTTAATTCTTCAGTTTACTTATGCAAAAAGTTGAGTATGAAGTCTGGCTTCATAATTTCTTAATTATACCAATAATAAGCTTATTGGCTTTATGAATATACATGCTGAATCAAGCCTTTGAAGAATTTTCTTTTTAAAAATTTGGCTATTTATTTTAGTAATTACTCTATTCAAAACAAGATATAATATAGAGTCATATTATACATAGCAAATATCGATATAAATTGAATTATATCTGAATTTTTGCAAAAAGAAATTATTTCCTTTTTTTAGTTTTAATTAAAATTTAATATAGTTAAATTAAAAATTTCTTTTCTACTCTGATTTTTATATTCTTTTTTCATATAATTAAACCATTATTGTTAGTTATATATATAGTTCGATAATTATAGTTTCTTTAATTACTTGAAATAGCTCTATTAATTATAAATTAATTTTCTAAATTTATGTCAATATGAATTTGAAGAAGTTTGCATCATTATTAGAATAATATATTTCTAAACTACTGTAAAGTAATTTATTACTATTTTATGATAATTTTTCCGAATAAATTGATTAACAAAATTTAAAATGAATCATAGTACATAAAATTAATTTAACCAAATTTTTATTAATTTCTCAATGTTAAGTTTCCTCATGATTACTCCTACAGCAAATTTAATATATGATGAATAAAAGTAAAGATAGTGCTTAATGAAATTTTGACAAATATTGAGAAAGTTAATCAGTAAGAAATGTCAATAATTTCAAAATAAGTAGATATCAATTTAATATTATAATCATTAAATTAAAATCTCAAATTAAATTTATTATTGTAATTACAAGAAATTTAATAAACTGACTGAAGAATTAAACCAATAATTATAAATTATTATCTTTATTATTTCTATATTCTTCATATTTCATTGTATTTTCTAATCTGAATTTCATTTGAACTAGAATCCCAGGTTATTAAATATTATCCATCATCACTCATACATCCAAATATATATAAATCTCCAAATTCTACCAATTATTCATTTACAAGCAAGCATTTTTATTTTATATACTATTAAGGAAAGAAAACCTAATCATATTCACCTTTAACAATAATATCTTTTATTTTTGAATACTATCTATTAGTATTATTAATTTCATAAACATGCATTTATTCTATCCCATATGGTTAAAAAGTGAATAAATTATCATTTATAAAGCATATTCGTATACCATGTGTTTCAACCTCTATCTTTTCGATTACAATCCAAATGGAATAATATTATGATTGTTCTATTATTAATATTTAATTATCAAATCCACATGAAATCACTTTATGTTATTATTAATTCAAACTTAATCCATATACATCATTAGTATGATCTTTGATAGTTTATTAACATAGCCATTGATTCTATTTCATCCAAAATTTAATAGTAGAATCACTGCTACCTGAAATTATCATATCTTCATTATAATTCAACACTAAACAAAATATTATTCCATTATTTCCATCTAATTTCTATTAGCAAATCCATTAATGGCTTTCATTAATAGACCATATTATTATTAATTAATCTACACTCCCAGATATAAAGCGATTAGATTTATTCATAAACTTTAAAGTATTTACATCATCTTAATGTTCTCTCAGAAGTTGAGTTTGTTTCAACACTTCTTATTTAAATTCAAATACTTCAATATAACTATTACATCCAGCTATTACAATTGAACAATCTTTATTAATATCTATTGCATAAAATTCATTATGATATTGAATTGAATTATTCTATCACAATTGATAATTGAATGGTTTAAATATTAATTAAGGAGATATTTATTAATTTAAAATTTAGTTAATTTATTATTATTGAAATTATAATTAATTTTCTTTGAATTTGATTATTTCTTCAAGTGATTGCTTTTGAATGTTTTCTTTTTATTAAATTAAATTGCATTAATTTATAAATTCTTAATTAAGACCTTCTTCTTTCTTTTTTACTTGATTTTGAATATAAACTTTGATTAAAGATGCTATTTAAGGGATCAATTAATTATTAAATTATTTATTGTTTATATTTGGTATTAACAATTCAGGTAATGAATTATGTTATTAATAGTTTCTTGATTCTTATTATTATTGGAATCTTTAATTAAACATCTTTTCAATATCATCCAAACTCTAATCAAGTAAAGAATCAATTCTATTGAATGAGGACTAATTGGCTAATCCAAAATTACATAAATACTTCTATTTTTTCTTGCATCACTTTGATACATTCTTCTATTTTTATTGATGTCTCATTAATAAATGATTCTTAATGTTAGTGCATTGTGAAGGATTTATTAAATTATTTAGGTTTTTTAAACATTCTATGTTTCTATTAAAATGAATATATTTATAATAATGGATATATCAAAAATTAATGAATTTCACCATTAAATTTTTATTTTTTAACTTTATTACCTTAATTTATTTCGTAAAGAATTATTTTATTATTTATTGACTCTGATATTTTGATAATCTAAAGTAAGGAATCTACTCTCAATAAGTAGGTCAATTTAATAAAGGTATGAATTTATGCTTTTAAGTTATTAAACTGATAACTTATACATATAATTGGAATCATTACAGAATATACGAATGCTATAACTTTAGATTAATGAACAAACGTAGATTTTAAGATATTCTGATATGAAATCTAATTTAATGAAAATTGCCAAAAATATTGTCTTAAAAGATTTCAATATTATAATATAAAGTTAAATGTTTTATGTTAATTTTTAGCATTTAACTATTCAACTAAAGAGAAATTACTTGCCTTTTTTGAAAAAAACTTTAGTATTCTAGATTTATTCAATTATAAATATATTAATTGAATAGGAATTTTCAGAAATTTTAGATTAATTTAAATTATGGAATCAACTAAAAATATGAAATAAAAGAGAAATTTTAGTTATACAAATGTAAATAAAAAATGTCCAACAATTAGATGATCTTAGAGGATATTACTTTAGAAAACATCTTTCCTACTCAATCTTTTAGAAAGCTGATTTTTGACATTAATCAAATCACTGAATAGGAATCAGCTGGAATTAAAAAGGATAATTACCTAACTTGGCGAGAATAATTAAATTACTTTCAATAATAATATGTACTTAAGGTTTTATAAGAGATTTTGATGTTAGAGTAATTTTGAAAGAAGTTTTTTTCCATTATGGAATATTACTAAATAAAGTAAGAAAGAAAACAATAAAGTGTAAAATTTAAACTTTTTGATACTTAAAATCTAAATGTGAAATTTCAAAGCCTTAAGGCAATTTGTATTTTGATCATATCTTATTAATTTATGATAAAGTGAAACTAAATCTAGCTTTGTGCTTCAAAAAATTTCAACATACAAGGTTCTGTATGAGTAATTATTATGCTACTAGGGTTTTTTTGAGTATTTTAAAAGCAATTTGCCTGTATTTAAAGATATTCATATGATGGAAGATTGGTTTTTTTTTTTAATAAATTAAAAGAATCAAACATTTTAAAATGATTATGAGTTAGCTTTTATTTTAATAGTGATGCATAATAGTTTAAAATACTATATGCATTGAACTATCAATTTAAGTATCCAAAATATAAAAAATCAAATATATTTTAAATTAATTTGGTTAATATTAGATATTATTATAATTTTATAATAAACAATATTGTAATCATTTTTTCAGGAAAACATTATCATTATTTTAAAAGTAAATTACTTGTATTATTTATAATTGGTCTAATTTTTTATGCATCTAGTATTTTTAATTACTCATTCTTCTACGAGTATTGGGTAATTTAAATATATCTAAAACAAATAATGTTATGAAAATCAAATTAAATTATACAAGCATTAAAGCTTGATCTAAAAGGAGTATAATAAATTTCTAGAAATTAATACTTTTTAGATTTTTTAAATTAGATCTTAAAGAGTTTAAAGAACATTTTATTAAAATCAATCTTATTTTGAAATAGGTAATTTATGAAGATCTCGAGAAAGACCCCTAAATATTTATAGTATTGTGATTTTTAATTTTATTAAACATTATCTAGATTAAATTAGGAAAAATAAATGTTTTATAGCATTATGATAGTGATTAAGATAGTGATTAATACTCTTAAAAATTATTTTGTATTTTTACTTTGAAACATTAAATGAAAAGTACTTAAAAATCATTTTTAATTGATTTTCATAATTTAGAATGATTCATTACAGAATTTTAGCTGATGAATCATTAAATACTGCTTTAATTCTGTTGTATATCTACATGAAAATCTATATTCAATAATAATCTACTATTTTTACTGAGTATTTTCTTTGATTTTTGACTTACTCATTCAATCCTGATTACTATTATAAATAATTACTATAGTTAGTTTTTTTGACCATTCGAAATTCTTTTAGTTACTATTTTCTTTATAATTAATCTTAAATATTGAGATGAATTATTAGATGTGCTTTTTAGGTTCTCTAAGTAATTTAAAAATTTATTAACATTATCAATTTATCAAAGAGCATTCCAAAATGATAAATGTTTAGTAAAGGGTAATTTTAAAGTATTAAAGTTTTTCTGTAAAAGGTAAATTAGCTCTAATATCATTAGAATTGCATACTTTGGAAGGTTGATAGTTTTATTTGGAATTTCATATCTTAAGGTAAATATTGGTAACATATTGATATTTTTATTTCCACAACTTTTATACAAAAACAATTAATAATAAAAGCATCAAGATTCTGAACTGAATACCAGACTAATGGGAGTCAATCAATAAAAATAGAGATTTGACATCTAATCCAAAAACTAAAGAAAATTATTCAATATGATAATTTATTTTGGATTTATTAAAATATAAATCCCTAAAGTATTTTTCAAATCAAATTAATTAATGTACCAATAATTAATAGTATTCATTTAAATTTCAATACATAAATTAGTAACCTGTTTAAAATTTTTGGTAATAGAGTAAGTCTTTTTTGCTAAAGGAATGATCATCTTTATTATGGAATTAATTTAATGAATGATTAATTAAATCTCAATACGAATATCTGATTTCTTAAAACTCCAATTTATATAATATATCTGAGATATCTTTCTCAACCATTAGAGAGCAAAAAGAAAATTTGATATGGGTTCTTTATTGCAGGATTTATGGGCTTTTATTAATTTGAACAATGAGTACATTGTGTTAAAAATCTTCAAAAGTATTTTGGCCAAGTATCTATCTTTAAAATCCTCATAGTTAATGAAATGTCTAATCTGCACAGTTTACCTTTTGGGTGTATATTTAAGTATCTAAAGTGTTTCCTTCCTTAGTAAGATATTTAACCTTATTTTTAATCTCGCTTGCGATTCATTATATTATGTTTAAATGATAAAGCATATTTCTTTATGATCATCATATAATTGTTTTTGGATAATTACTGTTTTTATGCTGATAACTATTGTTCTATCTAAAAAGAAAAAGTATTTAACTTCCGAAAAATTATCCTTATTCTCCCTTAATAATTGAAACATGCTTTGTCAAATTAATTGCAAAATTAATAAGTTTAGAATGCACTAATATTGAAAAAATAAAAAGTAATAAATTTGATTTGTGTTTTCTATCTTATAATAATAAATTAAGGAATTTAGTGCATATCATAAGATACTCAACACTTCTATCCAATTTATTTCTGAAATTAATATTTAATAAATTTACTCAAACTAAAAAATGGCCAAAGCAGAAAATGAAGAATATCAATTTGAAGAAGAAAAGGTAAAAACATGAAAAGAGAAAAGAGTATCAGCATGATTAAAATCAGATTGAAATTACAAATAATGATTTTTAAACTGTCTTAAAATAAAAGATATCATTTAAGATCTTGAGTCACTATTTCAATAATTAAAATAGGATTAACAGTACTTTAAGAACTATATATTTAAAGGATACAATTAAAAAGAGAAGAATAAAATTAAGAATTAATCTGACATAATAATTATATTGAATTAGTTATTGCTAAATCAAATTTTATTTAGTCTTTGTCCTTCATCCAATTTCTGTTTTTTATAAAAAATTGATTTTGCAATTAGTTTTCAATCTATTTTTTTGTTGAAAATATTGTTTCTAATATTTATGTAAATATTAAGTATTTCATAAATAAGACTTTGGTTAACTTATTACATTAAACTATAATTATTTTATAACATCTGTTAAATTAATCTAAATTTTTAACATTTATTAAACTAAATTATTGAATCAGCATTCAATACAATTATCTGAAGCAATTTAATTAAATCTTGATTTATTCAGAAGATTATTTTTAATATTTTTATAAGGGATTTTGAAATTAATGAGATATATTGATAATTTATAAATTATGAAGGTTTAGCTAGATAAAAAACAGAGGCAAAACAAAAATTAGAATGTCTTTATTATTGATTGAGATCAGATATTGAATTCATTAAAATTATGCAATAAAATGTTTAAAATACAAATTTTATTTACTTATCATGTAAATTTAAAACCAAATAATAGATTTGCTTAAACAAAATAAAATTTGATAAATAAAACTTAATTTTATGTATAAATTAACAACAAAGAAACAATTATTATTTTAAATTTCAATATATATACTAAAATTTTGACAGTTTATAATAGATATTAGTAATTTCTAAAGATCCTTTTGACCCCCCCCCCTTATTACACAAATTTACATATCAATAATCCTCTAATCTCTATTTATGATTCTAAACCAGAATCTAAAACATTTATTAATTATTTAATCGTAATATATTTTTATGAAGTTATTAATTAATTTTTAATTCAATTTATCAATCTTTAAGAAAATAATTAAAATTAAATGGGTATTAATATAATGAAATCCTAAAAAGAATGTTAACCAAAGAACTTAAATTCAGACAATGAAAAATTAGAGCCATAACATTTGGAAATTGAGTAATCAGATACTAAAAGAACTTAATAAAATAAAATTAAACTTAAAAGGAATATTAATTAAGATAACTAATTGTTGTATTACTAAGATGGAGAGGCCATAAGAATGTAAGAAATAAATTATTTTTATAAGAGAAGAATTTAGACCCAATCAAACTTAATAAGATGTGTTAAAAAATTTGGATTAGATAAAATTTCTTTTTTGGCATGGAAAATATGACCAGAATGGAAAGAAAACTGGTTATTGGTATGCTAGTTGGAATGGTTCTATACTGAATTCAATTGGTGGATACTATAAGGAAGGATAAAAACATGGAAGATGGAATCAATTATCTTAAAATTATCACAAGTAAGTATTTTTTTAATCAATTAAGTTCCAATAAAGTTTATGAAATTGGAGAATATTGTTATAATCGAAAAAGAGGGCATTGGAAATATTTGTTTAATGATAATTTGATGTAAATTATTATTTCATAATTAGTGGTGGTGGATAATATGATGAAGGATGTTTTGAGTTTAAGGTTGGGAAGTGGATTGAATTGGATGATGGATATAACCAATAGAAATAAGTAACGTATGATGGTGAATATATTAATGGTAAGAAAGTTGGCATTTGGAATATTTGGTTTGATTAGAATGGGATTAAGAAGAATATGTAATTTTAGATATATAAAATAAAATTACTAGTGGTACTGGGGTTTATGACCATGGAGTTAGAAATGGCTATTGTATTGAACTTTTTGATGGACTTAACTTTTAATCTGAAATAATATAATATGGATTATATTAAAATGGAAAAAGAGTTGGTAGATGGGATATTAAGTATATGGATAATTAAATGTAAGTATTTTATATATTTTAAAACTATTGAAATATGAAATTAGTGGTGGTGGATTATATGATTAAGAAGGGAAAGGAGTAAAAATTGGTTAATGGATTGATATTAGCGATGGATTTAAATTGGATTCTCAAATAACTTACATTGGATAATATAATAAATAAGGGAAAAAAGTTGGTAAATGGGAGATTAAGTTATATGGGGCAAATGATATGGATGAGGAGGATTACGATGAGATTTAAGGCTTAAATATAACAATGTAAATATTAAATATAAGGACCAAAAAATAGTGGCGATGGATTATATGATTAAGAAGGGCAAGGAAATAAGATTGGCTAATGGATTGATATTAGTTATGGATTTGAAATTAATTCTTAAGTAATTTATAATGGGTAATATTAAAATGGGAAAAAAATTGGTAGATGGGTTATACATTATAAGAGTATAAAAATGTAAGCAAAATATTAGGAAATGTAATTATAAATAATTATCAAATGTCATACACTTATAGTGGTGGTGGATTATATGATTAAGAAGGGCAAGGAGTTAAAATTGGCAGGTGGATTGAAATTAGCGATGGATTTAAATTTAATTCTCAAGTAATTTATGTTGGAGGATATAAATATGGGAAAAAAGTTAGTAAATGGGAAATTTAGTGTAGAAAATTGGGTGAAAGCGAATTTAAAAAGATGTAATTATTAAAGGAAATAATAATAAATCTTTAGTGGTGTTGGATAATATAATGAAGTTGGTCAAGAAGTAAAGATTGGTTAATGGATTGATATTGATGGGAACTATAGTGAAAATTCATAAGTAACTTATCATGGTGAATACAAAAATGGAATAAAAGTTGGTAGATGGGATTTTTGGTTTAATTATAATGATCATGGATAGGAAAGAAAAAGGATGTAAGTTTATTTATTTATTAGAAACTAAAACATACCTGATTTAGTGGTGGCGGATCTTATGATAAATCAGATTAAGGAGTTAAAACTGGGTATTGGATTGATCTTAGTGAGGAATTTTCATAATTTTTCTAATTAATATAAAATGGTCAATATAAACAAGGTAAAAAAGTTGGTAAATGGGATATTTGGTTAAAGGAGGAAATTGATTAATGGGGGCTATTTTTCTTGGGTATACATTCTTACAATATTGATTTCAACCAAGATAGAAATAAAAAAGAAATCAAAATAATGTAATAAATCATTACATAAAATTATGTAGTGGAGGTGGATAATATGATAAATAAAATCAAGGATTTAAAGTTGGGTTATGGATTGATCTAAGTGATTAATTCAAAAAATATGAACAGGTATTATATTAAGGAGAATATATTAATGGAAAAAAAGCCGGTGTCTGGAAAGTATTGAAGAAGGATTACAAAGTACAAAATGACGAATTTAAGTTCTTTAAAGAAATTTAATATGATAATTGAATTATTGTAAGTACAAAAAAGTATAAATCTTATCTAATATATTTTATTTTTCAGATTTTTATAATTTTTTGATTTAAGAGCTCTAATTTTAGTTAGAACCTATATATTATATTAGATTGTTCTATTTTCTTAAATATTTCGTAATTCCTATCTTGGCCCTTTAAACTTATTTTCATTAATTTATTACTTAATTTAAGCTTGTTTGTTTTGACCATTTAAAGCCTAAAGATTATTATTAGAAACATAGATTGTCGCTATCTCAGAGAATCTAAAGTATTTAAAAATATTAAAAATTAACTTTATATAAATGTTTCATAAATATTTTTATCTATGCTTTTAAGAGTGTATTTAAAAATAAATGTTAATTCTTGTCACATAGAATTTCAATTAAGTTAATGGACATAGAATAATTAAAGTCATTTTTATTTTTGGAGTATGAAAATGCAAAATATAAATATCCATTTCAAAAATAAACTAATGTGAAAAACTTTAATTTCTTTATAATTCTGTCCAACATCTAATTGGATTCTGATTCTAAAACATCTTAAGCAATAATTATTCAAAAGGGGACTAGAAAAGGTTCTTATATTTATAATAGATTTGCATAGATATAATTACTACATAAACAAAAAAATAATTTTGAATTGAATATGATAGACATGGAAAAGGATTATTGGTCAAGAAAATTATTTTTTACTTCCATCAGTCTATGCTAGCCTAGGGATCATATAAACAATTAGTTCTCTATTATCTTTCTTTAAAATTATTCTAAAAAGTAATGAATTTATCGCTTCAATACCTTAAAAGATTCAAACTGCTTTTAAAATATCATAATAAAATTCCTTAATAATAATATATCAACCATAAATAGAATTAATAATGGTTAACATTCAGAACTAATTTTTACCACAATTAATAGATTTATATTTCTATAAGTTACCTGAAAAAATAAAATTTTTACAATTATAAATGATTAGGATTTACGATCAAAACACAGATGAAAAATTTTGGATGTAATAATAAAAAAATTTAGAATAATAATAATTATTGTGATTTTTAATTCTTCCTCATTTAGAAATGAGAATTTATTTCATAAAATATTGATTGAGAGATTGATTTAATTATCAACTAGAAATAGTTTAATATGAGAATATATATAAAATATATTTCCTATTCTGTATCTAAATGTTTAATTCATTATTTTTATAATAAAATTTATTAATCAATTATTTTAAAGTATATTTTTTTCCTTTTTAATCTTATCCATTTTTTATATAACAAGTAAATTACATAAATTTACAAGACTTGTTAAAATTAGTATATGATAGATTCACAAATACATTATTTATTGGAATCTAGGATTTGATTTATACTATGCAGTTGATACATCCATTAATATTACATTCATCACATGGTTCTTAACACTTTACACATTTGATGAGACCATTAGAATAATAAGTGGATTTGCAAACACATTATGATATGTTATTAAGTTTATGATTAGTATCTAAATATTTTAAGCATTTAATAGTATTATTTTATTCGATTTATTATCTCACAAGTTTAACATGCCTATTGGCAAGATATGCAAAAGTAATTATCATCAGATATCCATCCAGACTTGAATTGACAAGACTCAGTTTATTAATTTATTGGATCTTTACAAGTAATACTTTTATTTATTGTATCTTTACAATCTAAACATGGCAATTAACATTTGATGCTTATGATATCATCAGTATCCAAATTCCAACCTGCTTTACATACAAATAGAAATGGTTATTGGCTATTGATTACTATCAAAACATGATAAACAGTGATTTTCATTCCATTTATAAGTTGCATGAACTTAAAAAATCTTAACATGTTTAAGATT